TTAGTCCCAATTTTATGACTAACATCAAAACTTTGCTCTATCTTGCCAAAACATTTTTAAGACTTGTAGGACAGTCAGAGCCGAGGAAAAAAAAAATGACTGCTGGATTTTTTGCGTAGATGGAAGAGAATGTAGCAACAATTACGCATTCCAACCAAACTATGTTACAGAAAATTTCTATTCATTTTAAATCTATACCGGGGAACATATAGTCGCTTTTTACTTTAAGAATGCACCTACATATACCACTTCCTCACCTTTAGGTTTTTAAATGTAGTCAGTAAGTATTAAGAACATTAAGAAAGCAACCTAAATAATTTTCTAATTAAATAACTTACTAATAAATAATTAAATACTACTGCCACGAGTTACCAGACCATCTTTTCTCCACCCACCCCAAAGGGCTTTTCTCCTCTTCCTTTCAAGGCTGCCAATCTAAAAGATATTTTCATCATGAAGTAATTAAAATCCAAAGACTTATACACTCCATCTTAACACAAATTTGCCTGTTTCTGACTATTTTTCCTTTAAGTACTGTGAGAGTCAAAACCACCACATGGTGCTTAGCACAAGCTAAGGAATGCCCATATCTCTGCTATGCATTTAACAGGTCGTGTTAAAAATGGAACAAAACCAAATTTGCTCCACCATTTTATCTCCTGGATTTGCACTTCAAATAATAATTTTCCTTTCTTTGTCATTTTAACGGAGAGTCCACATTCAACTGTGTCCTATATTGAACTATTGTTGAAGTATGATCTTCAACAATATATGTATTATTTTCCCTTGTAAAGCAAACACTGTACCTAATTAAGAAAGTCTTTTTCTTCTTACTCAAATGATTAAAAACTTAATTTCAGGAAGCAAAATCAGTTCATAAACACCTTTAATTTCCTGCTTCTTCAGATTAATTTTTAATGTGTCTGATCCTTCTTTGAGAAATCCACCTCAGGAATTTATGTCTTACCACATTCATCATCTACAGCACTTTAAAGTAAATCAGTATTCCCCTGAATGGATTTTACACAAACTGTTACCATTCACTGTTATGCCACTCAACATCAGCTGCAGACAGGACTGCATAGGTTCAATTAGTATCTTCTTAAACCATGTGCTTATGCAATTTAATATGGACATATTTTTAAACAGTATGTAAAAGTCTCATCTACATTATTTAAGAGCAAAAGCCACATTTTCAAAGGTTGCGCCACCAAGAACATGAAGTCTAGTCAAGCTTGTAAAACCTAAAGAATGAGGAGAAAAGGATATTCTGAGCACACAATGGTAGGCACCATGTCTAGCTCTCAGTTTTGTACACTACTTCAGAAAAACACAAAGGGTTTCCAAATTAAAGACATTCTGGATCACCCTCTACAAACAACTCCCTCCAAACCCTGCCCTTCAGATGAAACTGCATAGTGTGAGTATTCCTTTTTGCATAAACCACTTCTGAAATGTCAAGTGTAGAATTTAGCTCCTTAAGCAGTAAGAATGTCTAGTTCTATTTCAGTACTTTATCTCTACAATATCTCTACAATATTCACATAATCAACTGCAATATTAGCACAATTCCATGTACATGCCACTTCTGTGTCTATTCCATCGAATCTTGCTGTCTTTAACAGGCAAGAGTTACACTATGAGAAATTCAGTTGACACAATGATAAAACAAGTGATGGAGAAATGCTTTGAAAATTTAGTGGTTTAATTATTTAGCAAGTAAATTTCCCATCAGTTTCTCATGTTTCTTCCCATAACAAAAAAAAATAAAAAAAAAATTCTTTTTAACAAAATGTACAAAAGTACTCCTAGAGACTGAAAGAACAGAAATCCATTTCCTAATGGTTCTGTGTTGGGATTAATACATAAACACTGTGAGGAGCAGGAAACTGGGGGAAATCCTACCTCATGTAACCAAGAGCTAAGGATACAAGTGGAGATATTAACAGGATATATTTGAGACACTATCCTTTCCGATAAACCTACTCTTAGATACTCACATGATGAAGGACTAACATACTAAGAAATGACACCAGGCAAGCGTTTCATATTGAAGAACCAAACATTAACTGACCACTTGAATGGAGCAAGGCATGGAACTAGCAGCACCAAATCTTTGTACATCCAAAAAGTAAGAAAGAATAGGTGTAAACAATACTGACTTGTACATAATAGCACCAGTATGAAAAGCTTTATTGCCAGAGAGTTAATTCTGCCAGTGATCAGAATCACTTCCGCAGAGAATGTGTGAAAGTTATTCTGTATACAGAGATTAATTTGCACAATACCCGTATCTTTGGCTTCAACTAGTTAGCTTTAACATGTATATGTAAAAAATACTGCCAAAATTTAAATTACAAGCCTGATTTTTTTTCCACAAGTCACAGCAAACACCACTGGCAAGCCCAGACATCCATCACAAATAGGTTTTACAGAGTTCCAGATACTTTTAAAAGGTTGATTGATTTTTATTTGAAACAGAACATTTAATTGAAGTCAAAAGCAAAATATTTCAAGGTTTGAGAAGGCTTTAATTACTTTTTCTGTACAGTCTTTAAATGTAATTCTTCCTCTTTTATTAATGGAATGGGAGGGGAAAAGACTAAGAACACTCTTTTGGGGTTTTTTTGCTTTTATTTCAGTTACAGAACTCTTCCTTCTCCCACATCCACCAATAAATTAAATTATTTTAAGACAACTAGTGTGGAGAGGAATCACCTCTTTTCAAAGATTTCAGTGCCACTGTGTTTGTCAGGATGGATTAAATTATTTCACTAACTGTCTCCAATGACCCAGATCATGAATAAGAGGACATCCTTTACCTTCCAGTTAGATGCATTGAAATACACAATTTTGAAATTTTTTTTTCCAAAATAATTTTCAAACTAAAAAAAAAAAAATGTTTTCAACTACTTCTACATCTGCAATACAAAAATGTACTAAAATTCCTTTAGCTGCAGATATCTCATACAATTTTGATTTCATAGCACCGTAAAGCCACAATTCTTTCTTCTTCAGGGAAAAAAAAAAAAAATTCCACACAATTCAGAAATATAATAGCTGGCAGAAATAGGCTGTGTTAAGTTAGTAAAAATTCATGAGTAAGTCATAATATTTTCAAACAATATACTTTGATAAAAATAGTGACTTGACTTAGTTGCAACCTATATCTACAAATAATGTCAATATTCTCACTAGCAAAAACATTCATTGAATCTGTTAACCTTTATCAAATATAACCATAAAGTAAAATTTAAATGAACAGTTGGTGCTCATACTGGAAATGGCCCTCTAGAAATTATCAATTCAAACCCTGAAATTGATGAGTGCTATATTAAAATAAATGTATCTTGTTTTCTAAACTGAACAAAACTAACTAACAGACTCCATGTATTGCTACTTTATTTCTCAGACGGTTAGTCATATTGATGAGCCCAGATGTGTACTTATACCTTGACAAGAATATAAATATACTGTCAGAAATAATCTGACCGAATTATGTTGGCCAGCTGTCTACATAAAATTCTGGAAATACACTAGTCCCTTATAAAATGCAGTGCTAAACTGCAAGTACAAAAAAACATACCACTCCAGAAGAAATAAACGGTCATCAAATGGAACTGAGTAAGTTCAGCTAGTATCCTGAATAAAAATACTTAGTAAAATTATGTTTTAGGTCGTGGTCTTGACTGTTGATTTGCATTTGTTATCACATATACCCCAATTAACACAACACAGGCCAATTTCTGATTGCATAGCTAGTGACATAGCATTCTGGATTTGGATGATTTCTAGCCTTAACACTTAAATTGGAACAAGCAGCATAGCTCTAAGACTTGTCATTTTTAATGCTGGAGATATCAGGAAAACATGAAAAAGATCAATATGATGCTTTTCATAAGACGATCAATATGATAACTTCACATAGAAGACATAGTGCTAAAAGCAGCAATGGAATGTGCTTTCAAGCTATTGATAAAAGTCATCATTTAACATAAGCAAATGAACAAAAGGTATTTTTAGGAAAAAATAATCGTAGTATTATTGCAGAACTAAACAAGACAGTAGCAATTGAGCCACCCTGTTTTTTTACTGTAAAAGACTTGATAGGGAAGTGCAATTTCTTTTCCTCCCTTCCCTATCCCACCCAAATAATTACTCTACAGACCGTAAATGACTCTTAACCAAAGTAAACAATTAAGGATACAAATTCTGTTTCCTCTTTTAATCCAAGCTAATTACAAAATGGTATTTAAATCCCTTCAGCTGTTAGCTTGTAAGTACATGCATTCTAACATGGAAACTAATGAAAATCACACAGAAGACACCTTTTCATGAGGTGACCTCCACAGAAAACACTTGGCAATGAAGTATGAGTTGACAAGGCTATAAAATGTTCAAATAAAGTGAAAACTATAAATTTTTTCAGTAGAACTTCAAAGTACGTATTATCAATATCTGATTTGTGGCTCTATTTGATACATAACTGTTCACATTTGAAGGATTTCCTAAGTTAATAAAGATCAAGAGAACATAAAAGCATTACTAGTCTACTGAAAGTATTAGAAACCTCATTGCATGACCAATTCAAACTTATCTGTGCTTTACAGCTCAGACCACTATACACATTAGTAACACTGTGCTTATTGTCTAAGTTGGCTACTCATTTTGCTAGCACATGTTTACTTCCAGACAAAATAGGCCTATAGTTTTACCACATAATATGAAATTACTAAACTCATTGTTTGTAGCACAATTCAAAATTATAGTGCCACATTACAGAAATAGGCTGAGGGGTGGTCTGGAAGTCTTGTTTTTCTTACTTGCTCCGTCTGCTTCTCTCTTGCAGTGGAAATTAGTCTGCTATTTTACTTCCAAAGACAAAATTGTTATTGACTCAGTGCTGATGCAACAAACCAATCAAAAATCCTCCACTAATGCTGAGACACAGTGTTTAAAAATGTTCTTTAAAATAACATAGAAAATCACAGAAAACTTACAAGTACTCTGCCAGTTAATGTCTGGGCAGATATCATGACTCCTGCCCAATCCTTCACGGAGGTCATCCATCCCACTTCTGCTGCCACATTCTCCTCTTTTTCATCTGTTGGTTTGCAGGCCCCATCTGCCTGTGTATCTCCACCACCATTGATCTTCTGGGCCTCCTACAAAATTAAGTATTTGGGTTAGTTAATGTTTAGCAACTTGACAGTGAAAGAGTGCATTTGAGGATAAGAAATGCTATGAAAAAAGCAAGTCAGACTTTCTGGCAGATGAAATGAAGCACCTACTTGGCCATCTCTCTTTAGAAATAGGAGAAATAGAAATGTTCTGCAAGGTACCAGACTAACAACTAGATAATAATACTCTCCTTGACAATACAACTTTAAAACACATATTTGGTATCAAATATGTAGTATGTTCCTTCCCTATAAGAGCAGCATAATTGCCAAAAGCTATGTATGCAATTACAGAGCTATATATAAATGAGTTTGTCAGACACACACTGAAGGACCTTTTGATGTAACAGTTCAAAACAAAGAGTACCAGGTGTGAACATAATTTATGTACAATTTTAATTTACTGTCACTAGAATTAATTATCCAAGTAAGCCTTCACTGTGAAGCATGATGTAACAAGACAATAATTACCAAGTGCGAGGGGAACAAAATACACTATAGAGAATCTGCAGGGAGCTGCCATGTTATCAGTGAACCAGTGTTTCAATGAAAGTGTTTAATATATCACAGGAATTCTTCTGTCAGTAAGTGGCTCTCGTAGAACAGAGAGCTGGAAATTAAAGAGGACCCTCAGCTGTGCTAAGATGCCTGATGAGTCACATGCACTGGAATTCATATCAGTCTCTCGCGGATGCTGCAGTAAGGATGTCATGCTCTGTAACTGCCTGCTATGTGCTACAGTCATGGATGCTGCACAAAAATCAAGGGAAATGACAGGAAAATCCAGCCTGGATTGTACAGCATTTAAAACATATCATATGCAAAGTGCCATGAGTATGCCTTTGGTGACAGCATAATACTAATTACTTCCTGTACACTTGAAAAGTTATGCAAAAGAAGCATAGGGGAGGCAGCAAAATTCAGTGTTGAGGCAAGTAGTGAGAACCTGAACTGCGCCCACAGATCTACATTAGTGCTGCAAGCACTCTGCGCAGACCAACAGCTTGAAAGATCCTGTTTATAGACAACCTGCCCATAGATCACTAAGCAGGAAATCAATTGCCATTAATCCCCTTTGGGATATCCATTATACAAAAGATGTTTGATGCCAGTTTAGTGATTATTACTACACTATCACAGTCAAGATGCATAGCTTCGACAGCCTTGAGGACACAGCTGGACATAAAGGTAACAGCACTTCCTGAGAGCACTACAGAACTAATAAAGCAGTTGCACGGAATCTGTCAGCAAAGGACAGTAGAGCAGCTGTCCTAAAGATATAATATGGAGGCCAATGGTTGCTTTTAGAGATCGCAGTACTGCAACTTAATTAGCTAATCAGATTCTTCTCTGTTAGTCTCTTTTCTGAAATGCAGGCTCTATCTTCTTACTAGCAATTACAGCACAGTGCATGATGCGGCTACTGATAATAACAAATCATTGAGAGTTACAACAGTAATTCAGTACTTCCTAACCAAATAACCAGACAGAAGATAAAAGCCACTTTGTATTTGCGTAACTGGACCTCATTCCTGACGAACTGTGATACAGTGAATCAGATGTTTTACACTCAGCACTGAAAGACATAAACTGTATTGCACACTCACAGAGCACAACCTACAGAAATGAGCTCATTGCTTAGGACAGTGACATGTGGTATAGCATAACGCATTTCCAGGAGAGTAACACTTGGCTAGGGACAGTTTGTGACTCATATCATCACCAAGCCATACAGATCACTCCCAAAGAAATGCCTAGATCACCATCACTGTTTTGATTATAAACCAGGAAAGAGAAACCTAGCTTCATTTTTGAGTGAACAGTGTCACTGTATATACCAGTCATTGTAGTAAAACAAACTATTGAGGTTTAGGCAACCTAAATCCATCTCCAAGGCCCTGGGGGCACTCAGAGGCCTCACTGGCCGTAGCTGCTTTCCCGAGGGTCTCCCCTGTCCCTGCCTGTGGCCCAGGACATCATTTCAGCCGAGCCCAGGGCCACCAGCTCCCCACAGCCCTGTCCCACCCAGCTGTGGGCTCTGCTGAGCCAGGCCCCACCAGTCCAGTCAGCCCACAGCTTCTTCCCCTCACCGGGTCTGATCCTTACCCTCACCCACAGGTTGACATCCCAGGCTGGCCCCAGGCTGGCCCCAAGTTGGTTCCTGATGCCCTGGGGCTGGGGCTGCCCCGGCCAGGCCTGCCCCGCTCCCTGGCTGGACAGTGGGAGAGGGCCTTGACTGCCTGGTCCTCAGGGATCCCCAGCCCCACAGTGCCCTGACAGCTACTGCCTAGTTAAAAATTACATGTGCCATTTATTTCTCTCTTCCCACCAGGTCGTCTGCCTTTTGTAACTATTAGAGCTTTATCTTTCAGATTGCAAACTCTATGTGCCAGATTTTACTGCATGGTCCTCTTCTGCACAGCACAGTGGGCTTTTATACTCTGTACAAGCTTACACTGAATAAAAGTATTAATGTGGGTTTTATAGTAAAAGAGGTGTAATTATCTCTTCCTCTCAGAAAACTGAGATGGTGATTGTCTAACTGAGTCACCAGAGAAGTCATGGACAGAGCAAGGATGAAACCACAGACTTTCTTGATTTTTCCACACAGCACCCCTATTTAAAATCTCAAGGATGCACACCTTGCTAAAAACATTCATAATTATAGATTTCAGTATAGAAAGTCACACAACTTTCTATACTAAATAAAAAGAGATTAATGGAAAAGTCCATTTTATGGTAGTCAACTTGAAAGTATTAAGCTTAGAAAATTCTATTATTGTCTACATATTGTCTCCTTCCTTACCTAAAACATTTTGTCAATATATCAAACAGAATTTTAAAGATTTGATTATTCATAGGATTATTAAAGCTACCTAACACTCAATAAAACAGTAGAAATTTGACTTCACTGAAGGAGAAAGGTAGCTTTTTTTATTTCCAGAAGGTTCTAACACCCTACAGTTCTTTTTGCTGTATTGAATTTTGGTTAGAAATAGAATAAAGCAGTATGATGTAACAGACTTAATTTGGTATTTGACTCTCTGAAGGTATTAAAGTCTGTAATACATTTCAATGGCTGTATTTCTGCATGTATACCACTTATTTCACCTCTATTAAAATCTCCCACCCATGTTATTTCTTAATTAAAATATAAGTAAAACAGTCATCTCCTGCCACGTATCATTTGGGCCCATGATCAGCTACATACCAAACCTAACTCTTACAATTACTGTAGTTACAGTTAATATGCAGGTTGCTGTTATGTAATATTTGTATTCAATTGATGTATTTTACATTTTTCATCTTCATGGCTAGTCTCTTGCTTGCTTAATTGGCAGTTAAGTATTAAGAAAAGTTTATTCCCAAGTCATTATGCAACTGTGCAGAGATCACTGAATGAGATTTAACTGCTTTCATTTACACTGTGTACCAATCAGTTCTGCTGATTAACTGCATAGTCCCCTTCCATTGCTAGTTCTTCACCACAAAGCACCGAGTAACCAACACCACAATCTGAAGAAGGTGCTTAAAAAAAAAAATAACCTGACAGTGACATTCACTGCTTAATTATTTACAGGTTCAGAAGCTGTAAGTAAGGTAATATCATCTTTATCCACTCTACTTACCTACCTGTTGTTTCACAAAGTGTTCGTTATTTTAATTACTTGATGACAGGAACATTTAGGTAGATTAAGTGAGAAACAGCATCTTTTATGAAATATATATTTCCTGAACTTAACAACAAATGGAAGAGAATCAGGACTCACTGTTCTGCCATTGGTTTCACACAGACCTGGACAAGAAATTTCAAAGCTTTACCTTATATTTTCAACAATAAAAATTGCTTCTCAAGGCTTGAGCTTAGAGGGAGACTGAGAACCATGCAGACACTCACTCTACCTCCCCCGCCCCAGCACTGAGAAGGAGGAAATAAAGAAAAAGGCTCAGGAAACTGAGATAAGTACAGGGAGGGATGATCCATCCATTAAGGCAAAGGCAAAAGACAGACTCATTAGGGAAAGAAATAAGAACTGAAAATTTAATACAGACGCTAATACCACCACCACCATGTAACAGAGGAAGAGCGTGAGAATCATTACCACCTCCTGAAAGCACCTTCCCCCATCCCTCGCTTCTTCCCAGGCTCAGCTTTGTTCCTGATATCTCTGCCTCCTCCCCACCAGTGGCACAGGGGGCAGGGAATGGGGGCTGCGGTCAGTCCTGATGCTTCCTCCACCTCGGGGAGGGGGAACTTCTGTCATTCCTCTCCTGCTCCAGCCTGGTCCCCCTCTCACAGGAGACAGTCCTCCACAAACCAGCTCTGACATGAGTCACTCCCACAGGTGTGTGGGTCACCCCCACGTGCTGCAAACCTCCCAGTGCTGAACGACAACAGCGGGGGCTTCTTCCCACGGGGTCCGGCCTCCTTCGGGCACAGTCACCTAGGTCGGTGTGGGGCCCCCACAGGCCGCAGATGGGCATCTGCCCCAGCACAGACCCCCATGGGTGGCAGGAAGGGGCCCTGCTGTCCTACCATGGGATACAGGGGGGCTCTACACTGGTGCACCTCCCCCCTTTCCTCCTCTGTCCTTCCAGTACCTCAGCGTTCACACAGATGTTTCCCTCGCAACTTCTCTTCACAATCCCCCAACTCCTCCCAGGTTCCCTTTCTTAAATACGTTACCACAGAGGCACAGCTAATTGGCCTGGCCTTGGTACGAAGGTGGGTCTGACTTGGAGCCGGGGCAGCTTTGAGAAGCTTCTCACAGGGGACTGCTGTAGTCCACTCCCCTTCTACCAAAAGCCCCTGCCACTCATTCAAACCAGGACATTGGTTTATATTACACAAGCTTAAACACAGAAACTACCCTAAGAAAACAAACTTCAAAAGGGAAAAGACACTTAAAGCCAATTTTCAGTTTTGACAATGTAGTCCTGCCTGATTCACTTTACCTCTCTCTAGAATATTTGTACAAACATCA